ACGGTATACACTGGCGGGGCACCAGTGAGGGGTGATAGGTGAGAATGAAAAGGCAGGTCAGTTAGCCCATCGTGATGAATACACCAGTAATTCAGCACGATGGTTTCCAGGGGGGACCACGTGTTCGACATTATGAGGCATATTGCGAGCAATGGGACTGATAATCCGCATTACTAATAATCCCTTCCCCCCGTTATTTTGTAATACGTAATCTTTAGTTTGTGAGTTACTTTAAACATCACGTGCAAAGACACTTGGATGTTAGCGGTTACTATCATTATAGCGTTTACCGTCTTATTATATTATTATATTGTTTTAATAGCGGATAATTGCTGTGTTACGTTGTTTCCAGCGAGTCTTGTTCATTATAAATAATTTACATTTTCACCCGACTGTCGAAGGAAACAGTTTTTCTGTATGTGTGTAAATGTGTGAATTAGTATCTGGGTTATTGGCATAATGTCGAGGTCGAATAGTTTTACGAATTTTAACAAATGGGTTACCGTTTTTGTTTTAATTATGGCAGTGCCATGTTGCTCTACAAATGCTAACACCATTAGAGAAATAGTAAATTATTCTTTTAAAATTTTATATTTAAATAAAGACGTTTAATTTTATCGTATTATGTACCATGAAATCATTAAGTTTATAATTTTCTGAATTTCTTAGAGATATAGTGACTAAATACATTTATAACTTTGGCCATATAAAACAATATAATTCTAAAAACACTTGAAAGTGAGTTTCTCTGTTTGTTTATTTTTAACCTTTTGATTAATCACAATCTTTAATCCTTTTAATCTGTCACGGTCATGTGAACGAATTCGCAGGAAAATACTAATTTAAAAGAAATATGGTAGTTACAAATTGTCAAAAATTTGAGAAATTTAACAGCCGGGTGTTATTTTATGGATGTAAAATCTTGCTGAATTTATAGTTACTGTTGGCGTAATACGTAAGATTACGTGTACGTAGTTTAATATTGTTTGTTATCTCTCGAATGTGGAGTAATTGAAACTGACCGATATGGGTCATGCCGCGACTTATCAAACATGTGCCCGGGTCTGTTTGATAGTTCGAATATTTTTCTTATTTCGTTTATTTGTTTACAGTTTTATAGAGCTATTGTATGCGTGCTTAACGGTGCTTCTCTGTTTATTACGAGCTTCTATTTTCAATAAACTTTTATCTTAATAAATATAATATGGTAATAAACCTTTTTTAATTAAAAAAATATCAAGAATCTTCTGAATCATTTCAGTCGGAGAGCATAGCAGTGTAACATGGAAAAAGTATAATCCAATCGAGAAAATTTCTCTTTTTTGAAGTTGGTTGTTATTCATGAAAGTAAAGATGTATTTTTAAGCGTTGATCAAGAGAAAAAGGTTTTCAAATCGCTTATATATTTGTCAATTTCTGAACCGCTTTTGATCATTTTTCTATAATCAATGCAGTTTATTTCCTAATTAATTATTACAATTGAAATAGCATTTACTTTTCGCAGCAATATTTACATGATTCTGAATTGTAAATTAAAATAATTTAAATTGGATTTAATTCAATTAAGTGCCTATGAAACATCTCGTCAGTCTGTGTATTTTATTTGTTTTAAAATTATAATAATGAGATTACTAGCCTATATAAATTAAAATTGCTTTTTACGTAGCAAAATCTACTTATTTTTACTAATGGCTATACTATAATATGTACAATATTAAATGTTTTAAATTATGTTAACTATGTTATCTACATTTTGCATAAATAAGGCGCTGTTATCGTTTGAGTCAAAAGGTCTAAAAATGATTGTAACCAGCCACTAAGCCGACCACACGTAACCATCAAGTCTGTGAACCCACGACGTAATAAAACAATTTGAGAAGAGATGGATCTCAATAATTCAACAACATATTCAATAAATAATATAAAATTTAATTAATGAAGTAACCATAACCGGTTAGCTTTTATGAATTTTATGAATGTGTAGGTTGTATGAAAAAGTTTTTGTGTATATGTTTCATTTTTCAATAGACTTCGACAAGAAGGACAGTTCACTATTCAATTTGCGCGTATGTGTGCTTTTGTGTATGTATGTTACGTGATATCATCGCAAGTTCGGAACTGATTTTACTAATGCTTTTTATTGATAATAGAATTCATCCCCGTGTTAGTTTTATTTTAATTTTGTTACGATAGAAACACCAGCTTTTTAAATATCTATTCTGTGTTAAAAATGCTATGTTTCGTATATATAACAATACACAAATAATTATTTGTGTATTGTTCGTATATTTATTATTTGTGTCATGTCTTTATCAAGATAAAGATATTGAAAAGAAGAAACTTTGATAAAATTAATATGGGATCAGTAGATAAAGGAACAAACAATTTTGATTAAAAATTAATTAAAAATATTGCTTAATATGCATATGTTTAATGAATTAAAATATATAGTCAAATGGAGATCCTCTTAATATTTGGGTTCCAATAAATATATATACATATATTACATTCACATTGTTATTATATTATCTTTATTACTCTGTTCTAGAGTACAATCAATGAATATAATATACCAAAGCCTAATAACAAATCAATATGGTAACACTGGATTCTATTGTTATTCGTTCTACGTACGTTGCACTGTGATATAATCTAACAATCTCTATGTTAGAACTAAATGTTATATTTACGATATACTTACATGGCCAGTCCAACTGACATTGAATGCAAGGTTCACCGAACTCGGAACATTTGACATAGTAATTGGACGCGATGTATGTAGGTAGGTATATACAGATATCTGACTCAGATTATGTTGTTATTGGTTTTATAATGTTTTAATGTCGTATTATGTTTGCATTTGAATTTATAATAGCTACTATGTATGTGGGTATGTTTGGGTCGGTATATTTGGCGTTCTATTGTTTCTGTTTACTCCAAAAAGAACATGACGTGAGGTATATGTATGTATCTACTTACTAATAGATTTGTTGTGATTTTAAAATAATTATAATGACATATAAGAGAATCTATCTTGCTATCGAATTATTCAAATTTACTTGGATATGGTGTGAAAATATTGGAGATATTTCTTTATTTGTAGTATGCTTGTATGGGCGCGTTACGGCTTGAAGGGTGCGATATGGCAGGAAAATTAGGGTGGCATTTATGTTTTTAGAAATGGCAACGTGTGGGAGGTATCATGGGAGGAGTGTTCTTCGTGTCTATAGGGAGCGGTTATGGGCTTGGCTTTGGCGGTTATAATTGTTGTTGAATTCATTAATAATAAAATTAATTTTAATTTAATGCATATTTAGAGGAAAGTTTGGTGCATATTATATTGGTATGTTGTATAAATAGATTTTTTTTTATTGACAATTGAATAATTGGAAGTGCCTGCTGACTCTACATTAGTTTGAAAATATTTTTAATACATAAGTCGGCATTCGGGAATCATAAATTTTTATTATTTCTACATTCATTGTTTAATTGTTTATAATCTGTTATACCTAAGAGACTTTGTACACGTTTTCGTTTCTTCGTATACAAATTATTTTAAATCTTACTGAATACAATCTTAATATAATTTAAATCTCTTTATAGTAATTTCCATGCAATTTGAATAGGAATAAAGGAACAAAAGATCTCTAGCGTGTCTGTGACATTTAAATTTTACGTAGACAAAGAACAATCTTCGGCGTATATTTTTGTTCGTCAAAAACAGGACCATGATAACATAATTTATGTGGAAGGAATTATTGGTAATTCGGTCTAACAATCCCATTGCTAGCAATGTATCCAATCCGGTCGACCTCTACTTGGTTCATCTTGGAAACTATTGTAATTAATTTTCGTGTAATTCGTCAGAATGGGCTAACTGATCTGCTTTTATTTTTACGTCATTATTCACTGGAGCACCTTGAGTATATACAAATAGCGTAGGCGGAGTTACCACTTCATTCTCACTCATTAAAGAAAATTATGTATGTCCATTGTCCACGAAGACATGCGTTCAGCCGCCGGCGCGCCGCGACTGATACAACTTTGGCTGTGCCTGTTGTCCACTGACAGATGTTCCTTTTAAATTTAATATATTTTAAATGTTAAATTTAAGTATTTTTATATCACTGAAAATAATATTATTGTAAATTAATCCTAAAATTTAAATAATAATTTTGGCAGATGTTTTTGCAAACTGTCATGACACCGACGGCCTTGAACATACATAACATATTGCTTATACATGTACCGAATATATAATTGTATATATACATATATGTTGGTATAATATGATATTCCACGTGTTCGCTTTATAAAGATGCGTTCCGAATTATTTTTATGTACTTGCTAATAAGAACAACAAACAAATGGACAGCCCACCAGGTGGCAAGTGGCAACAGTCGTTTATACAATTGAACATCGGCATTTACACTACAATTTTTGTAATATATAATATGTTAATGGCGATCCATATATGTCACTTTTAACGACTACGATGCTGTAAATTTTATGTCGGTGACTGCATTAGCTCCCATGCCCTTCAAAATACTTTAGCATAGCTGTTTCACAGTTAAAATAGATAAATTAAATAGTTGTAGGTTTATTCTATAAATGGGCATTATGACGAGTTCGAGTCACAATTTCTATAAAAAAACAGAGGCTACATTATAATAATTATATAATTTAGTATTTTACCCACTAGCTAATCCGGTAAAAAAAAACGTTGTTTGGCAAAGGTAAACGTTCTTTAGCACCCTACCGCCACCTTTCGGATCATTTTTTCTCATCAAGATTAATATGTCTCAAATTGGAACAAACCATATACATTTTCAAAATTTCATTAAAACTGGTTGAGCAGTTTCGGAGATTTGCATGAATGAACATATAATGAGATATCAAAACATGGGAAAAGTAATTAATTTTTATTCGATATTTTATATATTAGATTCTAGAATGTATTTGTTAAATCTAAATAAAGTTTTCATTTTCTTTGTCTCCAGTTGTGTACTGCGACTACAATGGTTCCGGCCGCGCATTGCACTGGATTGAGGAATATATTGCAAGAGACGTGTTACCGACACACGCCACGCTGTGCACCTCACTCTCACACACATCGGGTCAAAGCGACATCTACAGGTGAGCGACAGTACCTAACAATTTATTTAATTCATTAATGCTAATTACATTAATTGTTTTATGAAATATACAATTATTTTTAAACTGAGCTACTTAGTCATAAATATCTTTAAAGTCTATTCAGCCCCTTTCTCATTAATTTAGTTCTAATGATAATTGTTTTGGGTTACAATGTTTATTTTTTGCCTTAATATCTAATATACATAATTAAAGATCGTGCCTCACAAAAAACCCAACTCCAATTGTGACCAAATCAGTTATTTTGATTCCAAAACTAAACTACAGAACAGAATTTGATAAAATTTCTATAGAACTAATCTGGAAGTATAATCCTTTCAGATAAAAAAAAAAAAAAAATTCCAAATGGTAGAACCGATGGAGTTATGAGTTAACAAATATAATAAAAAATATAACCGAAATGAGACCCTATTTTTTTTAAGTCGGTTGAGATACAAAGTTTTCGACCCTTAAATGACTTTTATTTTTAACTAATAAATGTGTTACTAAATTTTCTAATACCTAATACTGGTTAATCGGGGGGAAAGGGATTGTTAGTAATGGAGATTGAGAATCCTATTGCTAGCAATATACCCAACCAGGTCGACTTCCTCGCGGTTTTTGGAAACTATCATGGTTAATTCCTGATGAATTCATCATGATGGGCTACTGGCCTGTTTTCATTCTCATCTATCACCCTTCACTGGTGCTCCGCCAGCGTATCCCGTTAGCGCAGGCGATTCCATACCATTTTTTCCCATAAAAAAACTGGTTAATCATCCATTGAAATTGTTCTCTAACTATTATATCATCGGTGATTCCACTCCATGATTGAAATGCACAAAGGTAGAGTAGGAATAGCCATCTCAAATTGTTTCTAACCCATGATTGGAATGCTTAAGAAAATATCGTGACAGTAGAGTAGGTTCGATAGTCATCTTAAATTGTGTCTATGGAGTTTTCTTGATAGTTCGTTGTAAATAATGGTGTAGCGAGCATTTGTAGTTTCATGACAAAGAAAATATGATGTTTAGGTGATAAATGGATTATTATTGATGATATAGCATCTTTAGTGGGAGATGTCAAGATCACATCTATCTAAATCAATGTTTAATATTTCCACCCTGTAATCACGTTTAAACATCTGAACAGATTTGAATAAAATATGGTACATAAATAGACCGTATTCTAATAAATGCGTGGAATACATATTACATGAATTCACGCAGCCAAAACCATAATCTCAACCATAGCTAGTTAAATAGTACGTGTTTGAAAAATTTGTTATAGTTTGCGCTATCGATTATTCCTTTATGTCACATAGTAACTTATTATCAGGGTGCGTGGTCTATCTAGAAATGTATGTATTACGTGTTACCTCGACTTCTTATATTTAATAATAAACATAAGTACGTAAACCTTTACAATCTGATCTGACCTTGATTAATATGTTAGTTACTTCGTAATAAATCAATTGAGTCCAAAATCGAAGGGTTTCTTTATTTTATTATAAGGTTTTTATACTCACCTTCTGACTTGTATCACCATCAGGTCAACATTATAGTATCATGTGCTCGTAAGTGCATTGTTAGGAAGTTACCATACATAGCTGTGTCAGATTTCATATAAATTAGGTTTCATAATAATAATATTTGGTAACCTTAAAAATTGGATAAAACCAATTCAAAAGGTTAGTAACTTCATTCAAATCCTTTGCATGGGTACCTTTATCTCATTTTGTGATTCTGCCGGCAAATTTTAATTAAAAAAATAGTTACAGGTCTATCATAAATGTCGATGAAAGATGTTTAGATATTTTTTATATAAGTTTAACTGGTTCGACGGATTTTAATAGAATTTAGGACATATAAAGCTATTTTTTTTCATTTGAATTATTGGTAAAGAATGAATTAATGGAATTTTGATCTTAGGTGAATGCTCTTAAACGTTGGCTCGGCTTACGTGTTTGATTATCTTTTATTGACAGCAAGACGCGAAGGTTATCTAGAATAAGTTAAACTGCTTTGAATAGTACGAATGCGATATGTTTTCTAGATCACTACAATTCTCGGCGGTCAAATGGGTATTTGTACATATGATTTGTAAGTCAATATTTGTGTGGCGTAGGTTTATGCTATGTTGTACTCTTTAGTTTTTTTTATGGGTTATTTATCTTTGACTGAAAGGTTTTTGTATATGTTATTTGTAGGTTAAATAATAATTAAGAAATATTAGTGTAGTTTTTCTGTGTGGTCCCGGCAGACAATGGGCCAACCCTTCCTTTTAATTTCAAACTTGAATATGGAGTTGTTTTTAAAACACGAAGATGAACCAGAATGAATGAATGAATTTACTAGAGGGAGACTTTGTACAAAAGTAGATTGCTTGGGTACCTCTGTCCCATTCGTGTTTCTACCGTGAAGCAGTTGTATTTGCATGGCTGTTTGAAGGGTGGGATATGGCGTGAATTTACTGGGTACGGAGGAATAACACCTGAGTCCTCAGGAATGGCAACGCATGGGGGTATAATGGGCGAAACAGTATACTCTGTTATGTCCATGGTACTGTTCATGTCTATAGGCGACGGTTACCACTTTCCATCAGGTAGGCCGTCAGCTTGTTTGCCATTCTAAGTTGTATAAAAAAAAATGAAGTCTTACATCTTTCTAAAGAGTTAAATAAAGTCCAAGTCAACTATTCGACAAGAATCATGATGTATATGAATACTATTATTGAATATGAATATTTTATTCCATAGATCTGAATCGAAGGCGATAATTAGAAATGCAGTGGGAGCTTGTGCTGAAGATGTGGTTGTAATAGGAACATCCTTGCCGAGGTTTCTCAGGACTCTAAGACCACAAAGTGTTGCCCTTTTCGTATCCTCCAGAGAAACAGAAAGGCAACTGGCGCCATGGAAGGAATGTGGAGCTGAGGTGAGAAAATATATTTTTATGGTTTTATAAATAAATAGTTAAATTACAGTGTACAGAGGTAAAACACCATCATTATCATTTCAGCCGTTATCCGTCCACTGTTGGACATAGGCCTCCCCCATAAACTGCCATAAAGAACGGTGCTGAGCCACCTGCATCCACTGAACTTCTGCAATGTATTTGAGATCGTTACTCCATCTAGTGGCGAGTCGTCCTACACTGCGTTTACCCGTACAGGGTCGCCACTTAAGAACATTTCTTTCCCATCGATTGTCGGTTCTTTGAGCTATGTGAGCAGCTCTTTGCCACTTCAGCTTGCTTATCCTTATCACCATACTTATAACATAATAGTCTTCAAAAACGACAACGCATGAGCAGTAGCAATGGTATCACAAAGTACTCTATGACGTCCATGGTTCATGTTTATAAACCACGGATACGGCTCTCATCAAATGGGCTGTGAACTTGTTTGGCATTCTAAATTTAATAAAAAAAGACACTCTTGGCAATGGTTGATATGGTCCGCGCCATCTGCAAATTTACAACTATTCGGTAATCGTAAACACAATAATCCATTAACGTTTCACTGCTGGACGTGGGTCTCTTAATTTATTAATTACTACTGTCATAATGGCCAGATGGTTTTATTTCGAGTTGTCAATCTCTACCGCTGGTGTATTGTTCCTTGTTTCCTTGACGATATTTTTATGATGAAGAGATATTGATGATATTTATTCTTACTTTGTCACTGTACGAAGTTATAATTAATTATATTACATATAATGATTTATATAGAAAAACGTAGTAACTGTTGATAAAGTACCTTACAGTCTAAATGGTCGCGTACAACGCGGTTTCAGAGATGTTTTCTCCCACGAACACTCAGGTTATGGATGAGCTCCCTTCCGAGGTTTTCCCAAGAGATTACAGCATGGGGTTCTTCAAAAGGGGGGTAAAGAGGTTTCTTCAGGGTCGGCAACGCGCGCGTAATACCTCTGGTATTGCAGGCGTTTATAGGCTACGGTAACCGCTTACCATCAGGTGGGCCGTATGCTTGTTTGCCATCTCAGTGGTATAAAAAAAAAATAAAGAGCAATGCTGATCTCGCGTCCTTCACATAACGTTACGTTACTAGCAAGAGCAATTGTAGCCGGCTAACTCGACTGCACATTATTATGCGACGGTTGCACTATCGACAAATACCTCGGCTTATCAATGTCTATGTCCAACCAATTGCGATCATTCTCATATAATACTCCGCGCGCCATGTTGATATGTTGAATGCATAATAATCTATTTGCCATCTGGCCAACAACTTAGTTGTAAATCAGTTATCTACCCGTAAACATCCTTATCTTATAAATATACAAGTTGTAAGTGTGCGTAACCAATCGAAATCCAGTATCCAATATTGCCATTTATTTATTTATCAGACGCTCAAGACAACTTACCAGAGGGAGAATTTGTACAAAAGTCGTTTGTTTGGACACCTCTGTCCCATTCGTAATTCTACCGTGAAGTAGTTGTGTTTTCATGGCTGTGTTTTGGTTTGAAGGGTAGGATATGGCAGTGAATTTACTAGGTACAGAGGAATAAAACTTGAGTCCTCAGTAGGAAGTATCATGGGCGAAACAGTATACTCTGTGATGTCTATGGTACTACTCATGTCTATAAGCAAAGGTTTCCAGTTTCCATCAGGTGTGGGGCTTCAGCTTGTTTGCTCTTTAAGTTGTATAAAAAAAAAACTTTACAACAAAGTCATAAATTAAAATTGTTTTTCTTACGCTATTGTTGATAAAATTCAGTTTCATTCAATTCAAAATGCGTGCGAATGCTCTTTAAAGGACTTAAGAAGAAATAAATGAAAACAATTATTTCAACATTGTATTATTAAATTTCGGTCGCGTATACGATCAAGTAATGGTAATAGTATTTGAATGTTTCTATGTTAATATAATTGCTGTACTTAAATTGTTGCATGCCCGATAGGGTATAACTGTTGATACTGATGTTTTTTTTTATATATTCTAATCTACATATGGTAATTTGAGAAAAGTTATTTAGTTTTATAAATAGTATATTTAGATGGATTTAATGGTATACCTTTTCTTGCTATGCTTAGAAATAAACTTGAGCTCTGGAATTATATAATCCACAATTATGAATTCGTAGTTTTGCTTCTTCTAAAATAAGGTTTTCCACAATTCCTATGGCAACGCATTACAAGTAATTATAATCAGAGCTCCGAGTTTTATTTTTTAAGTTTTAATTACTATAAAAGAAAAAATATTGGCGTTCATGAGCATTAACTAAGGTGATTTATTGATATTGCTTTGTGTTAAAACTATTTCTGGTCAGTTTGCCCTTGAATACTGTTACAGCGTCTAGTTTTAACAATATTTATCAGCTGTAGCTACTATTTTCCTGTATTGTTATCATAATGAGATATTATAGTAAAACTATAAAGTAAATATTTATGTTACATATGCGTCATGCATGCCCTTTGTTTATTAAAATACATAGGTTTCAGGTTGTACCAATTTTATTGGAATAATACACACATATATTTAAGATAAAATTATAACACAGATAATTAAAAACAATTATTGTATGTACCAAAGAAGGATATGTAACGTATTTCTGAATTAATTTTACATATATTGCATGTTGCACTAAATTGGCACGCCACATTTTCCCTTCTTAATAATCATACGTATATCGATAGCGCAGGTGGGGTTACCATTTAATTTTTACCCATTAATAAAAACCGCTCTTACCAGGCATCAGCCTAAACAGATTCAGGTCCTTTATATTAATAAAGATATTTAATCTATTCGTCTGAAGAATTAAAAAAAAATATCTATACATTCTGTTAATTTTTATTTAATTTAGTCTAAACTAATATTATAAAGAGGAAAGATTTGGTTTTTTTATTAAAAATGGATAAGCTCAAAAAATACTTAACCTATTTAAAAAAAGGCTTTCATCTTATAGGAAGCTTTATTATTAGTAATATGCACTGGATTTTATTTTAAAAAACCATGCGAATCCGAGGCGAGGCGTTAGTTATTTAAATCTGGCATTTTCAATTTGTATTATAACCGGATGTCAGTGCATACAGTCACAATACATTTAGTACACTATGTTCCATTGTTTATCTTAGTTATATGATTAGTTTTTAGCATTATTCATACAAGTTAAACATGGCAACACTGAGCATATGTGTTAATTACGTAAAAATAGATAAACCTGAGACCTGTTGAAATACTATTTGTCTTTTTTATCTACCAAGTGATATTTATCGCAATGGTCACCTACACATATCTCGTAGGTACTCAGTTTTTATGTGTTTGGAATACTAATATAACACCTATATAAATATGTACTATAGTTTTTTATGGGTGAGGATGGAATGGTAAGTCGAGAGATGATAGGTGAGCATTAAAATAGGTCGGTTAGCCCATCGTGATGAATTCCACAACAGTTAACCATGAGGGGAATAGCGTGGAGGTTAACCTGATAGGGTAAAAGGGCAGTTTTATTTTTATAAGCTGGTGTCTGTAATAGGTTAAGACCTGTAAAAGGGCTGTTAGATCTAATTACTAATAATTCCTTTCCCCCTACGTATTATTGTTAAGTTAGAAAAGTTGATTTGCTCTATTTATTTATTTTATTTATATTTTACATTTTATTCCACTAAGTAAAAAAGAAAAATAACAAATACAGTAAATATAAATAAGAAGTGATACAAAAGGCGGCCTTATCGCTAAGCAATCTCTTCCAGACAACATTTGAGCAGAGGACATTGAAAAAAAAAAGGGTAGGTGGCGCTATTATATTTATTTACATTAAAAGATTTTTTTTACAAACATTAATATAGATTGAAAATCGATTTAAATCCGTTTTGTGCCGCATTACCATATTTCCGAATAGCACTGAATTGAAGACAAAAACGAAATGTTATTTACAAATATTTATGACATCGTAAACAGAGTTTATCTATAATTGTTGAATCTATAGCGACGCTATTGCATGACCTACTGATAGCATTAGATTTTAAAGTGGTGGAATTTTACATAATGCTAATTTACGAGGTTGATATTCATCAAATGTGACAGTGAGCATTATTTCATGCGTGAATTGCAAAGTTTATTTATTACACGGCACAACAGTTGTTTATTGTCACATTGGTGTGTTGAATTTTATTGCAATTTTGCAATCGTGTGAGTTATAGCAGAATGTAATAAAATCATAAATTTTATAGTTGGTATTGAGTCATCGGATTACGAGTTAACACATTTAAAACGCGGTATCTTGTATTGGTACTATGTTAATAATTGATCACATATTAGACCCGCTTGGTCCCGATATAAAACGGCCACCCGTTCTTTTACCGTGGGTGTTATGCGTAAGAAAATAATGGTCGAGGAATGGGTAGAATTATCCTTCTTAAAACATTACTAAATATCACCTAACTGCGGTTGCCAACTTGTTTGCCAAGTGTGACAACTACTAGTAAAACCTCCCAAGAGGGAGACCTGTGTTGAGCATTGGATGGTTAATGATTAATATGGTGATGATGATGATGATAATGATTTTTTGATTCATTGAATTTTTTTTTTATAAACGAATGCCCAAAAAGGCTTATAATACTTTTAGGATTTAGGTATGTATTTTTTTTTCACCGTTACTTTTAAATGCTTGAACAGATTTAGTTTAGATGTATAGAATATTGTTAGAATCCTTATATTACGTTTGTTACTGTCTATATATTTATTGAATACAGTTCGTTTATGGCAAGGCATGGTTGTGTTTTTTAATATGCGAGGAAAAATTTATTTCTTATAGATAGATAGATAATTTATTTACATTACTTACAGCACACAAATTACAATAAAAAAATATACATATAATACACAGTAAAAGAGATAATAGAATGAAAAACAAAAAAAGCAATAAAAAAAAGCATAATATCTAAAACAACAATTATACTGCTGACAGTACCAAATAAATCGATCTAATCGTCGCCTGCAGTTGTAAAAATTTTACATATACAGAAAATTTGTTTTCTGTCCTTTCTGACGACTAAAATGTCCTGCGTTATGCCTTGATATTAACTACTAAATACTAAATCTCTTCCATCAGTTATATATATCAATATAAATATCACATTCCCAGCCATATGTTACCAACCACATAAAATGCATTTGTGCCATGTGTTGCAAATTTGAAGGAGGATGTTTCAAGTTCGAAGTATTTGGGCTTAATAACAATATAGATGTAAAAGAATTTTAACCATTTTAATGTGTCTACTGTATCTAACTACTATATAAATATAAGATAGTTCAAATTCGAAGAATCCCATTCCGTCCCCGTTACGTCAGCCTAAGTTCTGCGCAATTATGTCGTGACTTCGTCCTTGTGTTCGTCTTAGTGGTAGCCCCCCGCCGACCATCAAATGGTATACCTCAAATAACTACATAGAACCGTGAGTGGTTTTTTAGTTTTATTTGTAGCACGTTTTTTGTTTAATACGTGTTCATTTCGGATTGAGCATATTGTTGCCTCAAATATTGGATCTTTTAAAACTACGCCAGTAATATAAACTCTAGATCTAATATTATATCAATTATTTAGTCCATTAAATTTTTATCATACCGTTCCACTTATTTCTTAATATTTATAGTATATCCATATCTTTGAATATTTTTAATTTAAACTTGTTATTTCCGTTTATTTAATACATTTATATCATTGGTGTACTAAAGTCAGTGTGTAATAAAGTCGTTACTTCGTATTTATTACGTTTTAATTGTTTATGTCGTTTACAAAGAAATCCTCATTTTAGATAAGTTTTACTGTCGTATACGAGTATAGTTTCCAGGCTACTAGTAAATACATATATCAATCAGTTACCTAACAGATGTATTTGCTACCTATATAATATTTCCTCAAACATTCATTGAAATGTAAACAGCGTTATCAAATTTGCCCACATGATGTATTACGGTAATTGCGTGAGAATTAAAGCAAAATAATGGATATTTAGGTCAGGTGTACTCACACGCGATGTTGCAGGTCATTCACCTATAATATCCACCTTCTGTAATACAAATCACATTTAAATTAAGGCCCTATAGCCGTCGCAATATTTAGACACATTCGGCGAAATTTGTTTCGTATTTAGATGGTGAATTAGATAGTCGAACGTTAACCCTCCTGTCAATTGTTCCGGGGATTTGCATTTTATTTTGTAAGCTTCATATTATGATATCACTTTATATTATCTACAATAAGAACATGTCTTATTAAATATTGATATCAATACCTAAATATTATTACAATGTAAACTTTTCAACGAACTGGTTGCATAGATTTCATAAAAAGAATTGGTCTGATAATTACTTTATTTGTGATTTTAAAATTATACAACAATGTCGAAATGTATGTATATTATTGTAAATATACATTTAACATACATTTGGTCATCATATATTAATTAAAAATTAATGTAAATATACCTACCGCTATTAAGTATGCGATTTTTTAACCTTAATGTACTTAATATTTTCAAAGGCGATATATCTTAGTTTATAAAATTGACGGTTCTCTTTTTAAAATGTGTTATTTTTTCAGATAATCAAAATACCGGAGACAAAGGAAGGCTTTATAGATTTAAACAATCTAGAACAGAGGTTGCAACAAAATACTGGTTCGGGGAAACGGATGATTGGGTTTTTCCCAGCGGCATCAAAGCTGACAGGTGTCTTGGCAGATGATGTGGCTACCACATTGCTACTACACCAATATGGTGCATGGTCTTTCTGGGATTATACATTAGTGGCGCCATCTTCGTCTGTCGACATGAATCCTAAGTTTGCTGGCGTCGAAGATGAGATGGTGAAGAAAGATGCTGTGTTCTTTAACTGTGAAAAGTTTGTCGGTGGCGTACAAGGTCCCTATGTGACAATTGTGAAGAAAGATGTTTTCAGAAATACTCTTTTTTATACGGACGATGTTGAGGTTAGTAGCTTATTACAAATATATAATAGATAATGCTTTTAGTATTCGTTTAGTTCTGTATTTTTTTTAATCCGATGGTAATGCAGTAGTTTACCAGAGGGAGACTTTGTATAAAAGTCGATTGCTTGGGTACCTCTGTCCCATTCGTGTTTTAACCGTGAAGCAGTTGTGTTTGCATAGCTGTGTTTCGGTTTGAAGGGTGGGATATGGCGTGAATTTACTGGGTACGGAGGAATAACACCTGAGTCCTCAGAAATGGCAACGCATGGGGCGAAACAGTATACTCTGTTATGTCCATGGTACTGCTCATGTCTATAGGCGACGGTTACCACTTTCCATCAGGTGGGCCGTCAGCTTGTTTGCCATTCTAAGTTATATAAAAAAAAAAATTACGAGCCTTCACAATTATATCTTTGAGTTTTAAATTCATGAGATATGAATTTCACGAAAGAATAAAAATTACATTAACACTGTAGTTTCGAATAAAACATATAAATTAATGTGATTTTTATGGTACCCACGCGAATAGGTAATCCGTAATTAGCGTGGGCGCAGTGTCGGTCAAGTAACCTCTTCGATACCCACACTTGTATACTTACTACTTAGATGTAACTATTGTATAAGCATTTATACTGTACCATAAAGACCTATTAATGTCTGTGTACTAGATACGGATCTCTCCTTATAATTAGGAGAATATTAAATTATTAAAATATTTAATTATATTTCTGTCTTTAGATACTAGTAATTAGTAAGCTCTTTTCTCTCAATTTCTCTTTGTTTTGAAGAGTAGCTGTGAAATTACTGGAAAAAATATTGTTATAGTCCGAAATATGGCGATATACAAGACGTACGTATGGATGATTAGACTGTATTTTGTGTGTATTTTAGGCTTCAAGCCTAAAAGTGTAAAGAAACTAAAAATTTGCGCCTAAATTTTATCACAACTGTTTTTATTCAATTCTAGGCAATTTTTGCGCTTATAATATTAGTAATGCTTATAGACTTTTTCTATTATTTTCTATTTATTACATTTGATTCTGTTATTTTCTATTATATCTATTACATATTATATTGTGATTTTTTATATATTATAAATTATATGAAAGTTCCTTATATCGACTAGAACAACAATCCAATAGCAGTCTTTTGTTTAGGAGTTGTCAGAGCGGATCGAAGAGTTGAAGTCTACGGAGGCTGTAAGAGCTGCAATCGTAATGTTGCAGCGAGATGCTGTCGGCTTACAGAACATAGCTGATAGACAAGACCATATCACTAGGTGAGTTTATTATTTATTTTTCGACGATATTGGTACGACATTGAATATCTATAAGGACTATAAATTTACAGAGACTTACGGAGGTCATCTACCTGTTTGTTTATCTGTCATCAATTGAGTTTTAATTACATCGTATTAGTATATTTAAGTTAATCACATATATTTTAGTTTTAGACGCATTTGTAATGTTACTTCACTATAAGTATATAACACATATACACATAGTATAAAACAACTGTCTGTCTGTCTCTATGTATGCTTAGATCTTTAAAATTACGCGACGGATTTTGACGCGGTTTTTTTGATAGATATAGTGATTCAAGAGGAAGGTTTATATGTATAATACATGCATAATATAGTAAAGAAACATTGAAAATTTTAGAGGTTTCTAATGTGATGTGATGTAATGTGCACCCGTGCGAAGCTGGAGCGAGTCGCTAGTTGTATATAAACTTAGGTTGTCCTACAGAAGTACCAAATTGGTTTTTTCCAAAATTTATCTATTTATTTGGATATAGGCCTCCACTAATGATTGTTTTAAGAAATTGAGCCAACTTGTTTTTATCAAAATTTAATTAGATTTCCAATTTTCCATCTTAATCGAGTATAGTAAAATATTGATAAACAATTTCTAGTTGCCTAAAATTGCCTAGTATTTACTTACCTATAAATTGTGTTTAATTCAATTACTACAGAGTTTAACTTGGTTGCTGTCTAAGTAAATTTAAAGGTATGTAGATATTTGGTATTCAAACTAAGATGTCGTTGACAAGCCGTATAAACTGTCTGATGAAACTACAAGAACAATAGGAGTAGCAAGTGTCGGCGATAGTTCTCCTATCAATAGAGCTCTCAAAACATTGACAATACAAGAATCTATTAATATAACATATATACTAAATATAATGATTTCAAATATATCCTAATGCACTTGGTTCATTCAATAGATTAGATTATTTTGAGAATTCCATTAAAACAAGAGATGTACCTACTAAAAATAATTGTATTTGAATTTCAAAATGGACGTTATTTTCGTAAATTATATTGTAAACAGTGTATTTGTATCACTTATTGCTATTCTTATTTCACAATCAATGCTTTGTTATTTTTATTGATTGGTCTTTAAATATCTAATAAATTATTTTAGCTATTGATGTATTTTGTGTTGTTTTTTTTTACTATTAATACTTTTTCATTTAAAGAAATTTGCTTTGCGTTTAATAATACATGAATAATTTGGCGATTGTTTGTTTTGTTTTGTTTGTTTGGGATGACATCTATTTGCATTATTTTTATTCCCAAAAGTACACGAATATCAAATTTTATCAAATTTGTTCAAGCTGTTTACGACAATCCAAAACTTTATAAGTACATATATAGCTAACTTAAAAATATAAGATACTTACATGTTTACTTATTTTGTAATGGGATCTATTTAATTCCAAACAAACTTTATGTAAGTGGGCTTGTACTGAAATCGTTTATTTATCATAATTCTACTGTAGTTTCGGCAAGTTGTTGTCTATTTTAGTATTATGAATATATTTGTTTGAGATCTCCTCAAATATGTCATCATTGTAATTATGTACATTGCAAGTTAAATATTATTTATTGAAATCTATCACGACAAATGACTGAACACTGAAGTCTTGTTCACAGCTGTGTACCAAATAGCTTCTGTTTATGCTTGATAACCGTGTTTACTCGCGAGGTCGGAGTAGTAGGAAAACTACCTTATATTGAAGTTTGTCGATCAACTTCGACCTGCGATCGACTGATGTTTACAAACGGAACGCAAACTCGTTCAGTATCGCGATTATCCAAGGCTTTAAACTCCGATATTTTCAAGCGTAGATTAAATATTATTCTTTGTGAATGCTTTGCTACCTGTTCTTATTAAAATCTATAAACTTACAGACTTATTCTCATAACTTGTTCCTGTAAAATATTTGTGTAACTCGATAGATTTTGATATTCAAAACGTTAATAGGATAGGAAATATATAAAATCTACAAGCAAATCTGTTTATATTTTATATTTATACAACTATGGTGGTAAATAATCTGGCCTGTCTGATGGTAAACGGAGTTACTGTAGCCTATAGATGCCTGTAATACCAGGGATGTCACGCGCGTTGCTGACCCTTAAGAAACCTTAATACGTCCTTTTTGAAGAACCCTATGTTGTAGTCTCTAGGGAAAACCTCGGCAGGAAGACCATTCCATAACCTGAGTACAACTGTGTAAACGTAGAACGACCCTTAACTAGATGATATAACGGCCAATGGATGTGTCATCAGTAGACGCAGATAGTTGAGAACCATACCTTATGGTAATTTATGACGAGAACTATGTTCAACAATGTACAATTAACGACTGAAATTATAATAATGAATATAAAGGGTTTTAAGTCCGCCATTTACTCTTTCTAAGTGTATTAGAGTTTAATAAATAAATAAATAAAAATATGATAATTGATTATAAGAAGCTAGTCTTTAACTTACCTACAGACTATCTGGCGCTAACGTAACAATAGGATTCACAATTCTTTTCTGGGACGGAATCTTAATGAAGACAACATTAGCATTCATTATATTACGTTGGTGACCTAAAAATATGATATTACCATACACATCTCATATGAATAACTACCCACGCTCTTGTCCAATTCACCAATAAACACGAGGGTCACCATTAAAGAGATATCTTTATGTTCAGATATTATTTATTTTTATTTCTGTTTAAAATCAACGTGAGACAAGCTCTTTAACCAATGTATTCTATATATAAGAAATGTTACAAGGATCAGTCTTTATTTAATGGTAACCCCGCCTACGCTAACGGTATACTCTGGCGGGGCACCAGTGAGGGATAATAGGTGAGAATGAAAAAGCAGGTCAGTTAGCCCATCGTGATGAATGCACCTGGAATTCAGCACGATAGTTTCCAAGGGGAATCACGTGGAGGTCGACCTGACAGGGTATATTGCTAGCAATGAGATAAGTAGTTCGCATTTATTAGTTTGCATTACTAACAATTCCTACCTTCTACAAGGATCAGTTGTATGAACGCTGTCTCATGCATGATCTGTGGCTCCACTGAAAGTCAGCGCTGTGGTATTATAATATACTACAAGCATATGTTTAGCGGCAGCCCCTTTCGGCTTTCACTAAATTTGGTACCTATTGTTTCTTCGTAACTTTAAAATGAACTATTGTAAAAAAAAACACTGTGGAATGCTGAATAAATATTTTTCCATTGTATTCTATTTAAATCAACAACAATTGTGTAAGAGGTTACAAAGTGAAGATTGAGTATCGCGGCCTAGCGGTATACTAATCTGACTTACAGACCTAAAAAATTATAAGATTGTAACTTGTAAATGTTTTTGTAAATTTAAAATTACAATTACTCCAGTGAAAAAAAGTACCGTTAATAAATCAATCCAATAGTAGCGGGGGGGGGGGAGGGATTATTAGCAATGTAGTTTGACAGTCCCATTGCTAGTAATATGCCTCATTAGGTCGACCTCCACGTGGTTCTCCCTGGAAACCATCGTGAGCAATTCTTGTTGAGTTCGTCACGATGGGCTGCCTGACCTACTTCATCCTCACCTATCATCCTTCACTGGGGCCCCGTCGGTGTATATCGATAGCACGGGTGGGGTTACCACTCCATTATCATCCATTAAAAAAAAATCCTAGCGGCGACGATAGACTCTTCCTATGTCATGTTGTTTTGTTGACGAAATGTAGGCAAGTATTAATATTGAAATTTCAACAATCTACTAACAGGGATTATGATCGTCCGTATATATTTTATTTAGGTACTTTAAAACTGACCATTGTTATTGATCATCAATACATTTCCAATTTTCACTTATCAGAAAATTACCTAAAGCTGTAAACGATGGGATTTGGCGCACGATCGATAAAGTTCATTGATATAAGATTTCTACTAATTGGTACGTCAATTAAGCTTCGTGGTGGAGAGAGATACACCCGATCGATCATCTGTCAAACCGTATCGTTCGTAGATAGCTTAAGTAATTGAATCGTTTTTATAATAACAAAAATGTGTACTACCTCATCACACTTGCCCTTGAATAAAAAGATGACTGGCAAATAGAGATCTCATTTTATTTCGAAAGTCATTTTAAAATACCTAGACGGACCATTTTATTGAATAGCGTTAATACTAAAATTAGTGTAGAATAAACTAGAAATAATCTATGGCTTGTGTTTCGAACGTCGTAAAATCTAGACCTCGTTAACTGGTCTCGCCAATAAATAAATTATGTCAATGTTTGTCTATGTTGCATTTGAGTTTACCGAAGTACGGAAGGCGCCAAACATTGCGCGTTGCCAAACCGTAATATGCGTCATCAATACACATAACATTGTACGTATATACATACTATTATGTATATATATACATGATTGATGTTTCACAAGTGTTTCAAGAGTCTATGGTAAAAATGGAATCTTAGAAACTTTGTATTTGTATAAAGATAAACGATAAAACGAATAGTTATAAAGTGCACTTGAATAAACAAATACTTGCAATATAAGTATTTTTTATCCATAAAGAACACGGAATATGAAGTGTTCTCCTTAAGTATATAATATTGAGATTACTGAAATATAAAATTTTTTGATCACTATTATCATGTACGATGTAATTGCAACTCTATTACGTCACGTGTAATATTTTTAATCGATTTCCAAAAAGAGGCTTTCAATTCATAATTTTATATTTTTATGTTACGCTTTTATAGTGTCAATTGTGCACCGATTTTGGTAAAACCATTTGTTCTTTTGGATTTGATTTATTCCTTTTTTAGTTACATACTAATTTTGAAACGATAAGAACTCTTTCTTATAGAGAAAAAACTTATTGTCTTAAAAGAAAATCTACTTGTACACATAATTAAGCCTTCTAACCGAAAATAGTTTTTAATGTGTCTACGTAACATCTCAACGTTATCTATCGTGTTTTGTT